TATGCGTATATATATACATATATATATATATATATATATATATATATATATATATACGAGTAAATGCGCTACTGGCCTCTGAGATATTAATTTTCTGGGCATCGAGGCGCGGATTCAGGGGATTTAGGATATCGAGAAGTATGGGCTCAGGTGTTCTAGGATGCCAAGAAAGTGGATTCAGGGATTTAAGATGCCGGAAATGTGGGTTCAGGGGCTTCAAGTTACCGGATGCATAGGCTTATAGGGGCTAATTAAACACTAACGCTAGTTTTAAGTGCACGAAGACCAGTGGTGGATTGAGAATTGAAAATTTTAAGGAAAAATTGCCAAGGATTTATGAAATTTTTCAAGATATTTTAAGATTTTCAAGATTTTCAAGATATTTTGCATATATTTTCAGATGTATCTTTGCCGTTTACCATCATCCTGGGACAATCGTCCACATCGATCGGAAACAAACATTCTGCGCTCCATCCTGCCGGTTGGCACTCCTGTGAAAATTCGATGCTGTCGTGGTAAACGTACTGTGCCAGTTAAAGCCGATTTTTTCCTTGAAACTGGTGAATCCGTACTTGACATCGTCCAGGAACTGTGAGTTTTCTCAGAATTTTTATCTGCTGGAATTAACAAACATCCTTTAATTTCTTTTTTTTTGCTTGATTCCGAGGAAAAATATTTATTTTGTGAGATTGTTGGAAAATTATATATTGTGTAATGTAGAAATAAACTTGCAGTCTGTGTTTCACCCCTTAGCTGTTACTCGATTGAGTGAATCTGTCCCTCAAACCTCGAACGCTCCGTCTGACTGATAGGGAGGGGCTGCTCACTTCTCCTCGAATCAACATTTGGCAGAGACATGGCGTATTGCCAAGACTTGGCATAATGAAGCAGCCGAAACCAGCACTGAGTAATCCACGAGGTACCAGAGGCCATGATCGCTGGCAGCGGATTGAAAATTCAAAAAAAAAAAAAATCAAAAAATGAACAAATCTGAGTGTATCGCTATCTGCATATTCCTTAATTTTCTCGATGATCTTGAGTAATTTCAGGAAAATCCAGAAGCGAGTGTTACACCCTTGCTCCGATATTGTCCCCTACCAACCGCTACTGCACATTTTACTACATCAAATTGATTGTAACTACGAAGAAGACGTAGATGTGTTTCAGCCATTTGTTAAAGGACGCCTGAAATTTGGTGATTTGAATGAAAACGAAATAAATTAATGATTCTTAGATGAAATGAAAGCAAAAGTTCCTGTGAGGAAAAAAGTGGAAAAAAGTTCTTGTCAGAATGTTTTCCTTTGTTTTTTCTTTTTTTTTGGGAGAGCAAGGGGGGGG